TGTGCTCCTTGTGGCACGCGCCCAGCAGGGGCGTGGGCGGGGGCGGGCCCGGGTGCGGCGAGGGCGCGGGCGAGGGCGCGGGCGCCGACGGGCAGAAGGGCGCGCCGGACGACAGCGGCGCCTCCGCCAGCGCGTCGTCCAGGTAGCTCGACTGCGGGCGAAGGACGACAAAGGAAGTTACAAAATACCAAATATTAAACACTTCCATCTCTGAGCAACTGCGAAGTGGTTTCCGATTTATTTTAGCCGAAAACTGTACAAACTTTATACGATGCATTGAGGACAACTATAATCTGCTCAGTGAAGGTGCAATTGTAAGAACGTCGGAATTTAAAACGTTGAAACATCTATTCAACTATGTTTACTGACTTTACAGTATAGATACAATGCAAGTATTTGTATTGCGACGTATTTAATGTTATCGCCACTTGAAGATACGAGGTTAGTTCCATACGTTTCTGGCCTCACTAACCGGCAACAAATATAAAGAAGAAATGTAACTTTAAAATGACTCTTCCTTTATTCCAAACGTTTCAAATCTTTTTATTAACATTTCTATGCTTTTAAAAATTATACTCGAAAATTTTGTTCTTAATTTGTTAAATAACTGCTTCTATCACACTCATATGAAAATCGTGTTCTTCAAAGGTCTTTCTTGGGATTTGATGAGATAGTCATTGGGTGTGCAAACCGTATAGCAGGAGGAGTGGTCCAATTCCTTGAAGTCACAGTCCTTTGCAGCATTCTTTGCAATCAGAGCAGTGAGCGCAGATGCATGGTCATGCATAAATAACTGATCACCACGAGATTTCATGCACCAATGCCTACTCAAGTGCCTCTCCCCACAAAACTGAGAGATGTCGGTGGCAACCTCATAGCATTACAGCTATGAAAGAGAAGGCAATAGTTTGCTCAGAATGTCTTCCCATTGATGAGTGGTCAGGCCAGAAGCTTACGGAACCACCTATGACATATTCCATTTATTATTGTATTACAGTTAATAATACAGTTATTATTAGAGGTGCTGAAATAAGTGCTAACGAAGTGTGTTTCTATTACATTGGCAGTGTCTATATTTTTATACTTTCTTTTTCTTCGGACCTTTCATTATGAATTGTACCACGCAAGCACTACAAGTACGACAACGCGGTTTGTTTATCTAGCTGCTTTTAAACATATTTTGTTTGGCAAAGAATGTAACACATTCTAAGACATAAACTAGAACCGTTATAAGTGAAGGATTTTCAAATATTCAGGTCGAACAATTTGTTTACATTTAAAATAGTGTAATGAAAACATATAAGTAACAAGGAGTTGCTGTAAATTTACTGTTTTCAGTATTAGAGTGATTAAAACTTTGATTCTCAAACGTGAATTTGAGGTACTGGAGAGATCAGATGCTATATTTGTATGGTTCAGGGTTGGTGAGGTTGACGATGACTGTAGGTGATGGCGGGAATGTGGTAACACTGCAGGCAGCTTTCTCAGGATTCGTTGGTTGAGAAATTTCTAGAGATTACAAATTTTGATACACGAGACGCGAGATTTGGTGAAGAGCGCGTTAGAGATCTTGCCCAGGAATCGTGGTCTGTGCTGGAGGAGGCGTATAGGAACATTGTATACGTACGCAATGGTCGAGGTCGTAGTCGCCGTCGGTGACGGTGACGAGCGTGGCGACGGTGTTGGCGGAGTCGGTGCTGGTGTTGATGGTGGTGTTGGAGGAGGTGGAGGCCGTGCTGCTGCCCATGATGACCACCTTGGGCACGGGCGGCTGCTGCTGGCGGTTGGCCTTGCCCGCGCGGCTGAAGTGCAGGCGGCGCAGCGCGGAGCTGGCGGTGGCCAGGAAGTCGCCGCCGGAGTGCGGGGCGGGGTGGGCGTCCGCGGAGGCGGAGGCCGGGGCGGCTGAGTGCGCGGGCGACGCCCCGCACGACGCGGCGCCCGAGCGACCGGAGCGCCCGCCAGCCATGGCCGAGCTGCCCTTGCGCTCCGACTGCAACACGCACAACCACCCTTCCATCAGCACTAGCACTGGCCTGCAGCGGCGGAAATACTCGGTAACTGAGCCACGCTGATCAAGAACTTCACAGTATTAATCTCTTACAACACTTCAATAAATTAAACATTTTAAGGAATGTCCTCTCCATGAAGAATACAGTAAAATAGTATAATGTAACGTGGATTGCATTATCTGTCAGAGTCTGCTGCGCAGACTGAGGGGGGCTTCAATCCTGGGTTCCTGAGTGCCTGCGTATCGCGGAGAGCAATATTCGGTTTCTGCTAGGTTCCAACACACTTAATACAATACACGTGATAATGCCCCCATCATCATCATAAGCATCAGGATTTGCATCAACACTCCGTAGCAAGACATTATTAACTAGTTACTACTGCATAGTCTTCGCCTCAGCATCACCTGCATACGGGCTTTCGTGTTTTTTCCACTATGATTCTACCCACAGGCGTCACCGCTCCCCACTATGGTTGACCTATGACGGCTCTCCTTCGCTAGCGCTGTTTGCGGGGTTTTGCACAACTTGGTATCTCTCACCAGCGGAGCACCGCCTCAACCGAGACAAGCTCTAAGCTACCGACATGTGGGGTAGTGTAGCGCATTTTCGTAAAAGTCAGTGCGGCTGAATTCGAGCTAGCTAGTGTCGAAAATCCTGCCACAGAATCGGGACTCGAATCCTAGGATATTCTGCATTGTAATTGTATGTTGCGATACGAATATTGTTCAACTTTTTGTTCACTTGATGGAGCTCCAATTTATTATAACTTTAACTAAATATTATAATTTTAGTTTAAATATATTAGAGTATTCATTCTGAGAAGGGTGATAAGACTGATGATGATATCAATTTACAGGAAGCTAAAGATTTTTAGATCTCGGTGATTATCATGAATTATTACAAAATTTGTTGTAATGATTCATGATTGATTCAAAAATTGATTGGATATCACGAATTATTTCAAAATTTGTTTCCTAATCACAATTATTACAATCATTTCAATTTAGGTAAAGATAGTGGATAAAAGAGTATTTGCTTTAAATGATCACGGCAACAGGCGACAAACTTCATCAACGCGTGCAAACATTGCAATAACCCGTCAAAGAATAAATTATAGAATTCTTGGCGGAACTCGCGAAGACGAATTCTGCTTGGGTGCGTCGCTCCGCGGGAGTTATCTCCTCACGCCTCAGCAGTTGGCTAGCCTGGCGCGTCCTTTGGCCGAGATGAAAGGCCTCTCTGTTGTGAAAGCGCCAATATTCGACTAAAGGGAACTTCACAGTTTGGCAAACGACAAAGGAGGGCTTCCGTTATAAATGTAAAACTCGCACAATATCTCCTGCCTGGAAGTAATGGGGCTGGAGTTCGGGCGGGATATCGATAGTAACTTCTTTACACAGCACTTTCCAGAAATGGAATGTGCGTCGGGGGGGGTAGCGTGTTGAGAATGTTGCTTTAGAGGACTTTTGTACGCCGGTCGTTGCGAGGTGCAATTGGAAGCGTGTTTCGAAAGTTGAATGTAGGTTATGCAGGTCGACGAGTTGTTGCGTAAGAACCAACGGTAGACGAAGAGTTGAGGCCAATGTGTGGGCGGTCGAAAGACAACGGTGAAGCCCGTGTTACACGATCATTTATACATAATTTTTCGGCACAGAATATAGATGGAAAACAGACGTTTGGTTTTACGCGCTACTGTTTCGTATCGAAACTGGATGAACAAAATCGAGCGTTTTACGCAGTAATTTCTGTTTTTGCATTCGAATCTTTGCGAAATTGTTTCCTTTGGACGCAGCAAAACGTGCTGAGGATCAAACAGTTGAACAAAGCGGTTATGATAACAATTTAAGTTGAGTTATACAGGAAAACTTGCTCAATGCGGAACGTTTATAATGCGGAAATCTGTCTAATGTGAACCTAAATGACGACCCTGTCAATAATTTATTGTACAATATTACATTCCATAATGTGTAATCTTGTCTAACGCGGAAAAAATACTGGTCCCTTCACGAAAAAAGGAACCGTTGGAGTGTACCAGATCCATGATACTGTAACAAGGAACCTTGTTCTTTTTTTCGGTGTTGAGATACCGCATTAGGCACGTTTTACTATATTAGGACTGAGCACGGAACCAGAGGACAACACACTTCATGTTTTGTTTATCACTACATAATGATTTGGCATTGCAATTAAACTCATTAAAACACTTTCAAAACCCTACTAATGGAACTAATCGAACCACTTACATGACAAAAGAGAGAAAGTACCAATACGAGACCCACAGTGCGGTAGTCAAACAAGACGAAATCTGCTACAAAAAATGAAGCAATGGTCATTTTTTCGAACAAACTATATTCAGTCTGCTTCGTCACTTTTCTGTACCGACAAAAAATGAAAAAATGCCCGAGTAAGACGCGCTTAACGCTGACCGAGTGAAGGAGGTGAGGTTTCGCGATGGAAAAGTCGCAGCGGTCATCGGAGGCGGGGACGGGAGCATTAGCCTGTCGCTCACTGAGGGTCGGCGGCTTCGGCGCAAGTGGGGCTGTGATGGCGTGTGGCCAAGTAGACGGTGACGCGCTGGCACGCGGTGCCCGCAGTGGGCTGTTGCGGCAGGGAGGAAGGGAGCTTTATAAACGGATGTGTCTGTAGTGAAGAGTTGCGTTGTGAATTGTAGTGAAGCGTTGCGGATCGTACAGTAATAATCTAAGACCAAAACTTTTCAAGGCCTAGTGGTTTGTTTTGCTATGCTAGTGTGTTAATTGCGAAATAATCACTTCCTGTCATGTTTTTTAAATAATTTGTTTTTATAACGTATTATAAGTTTATTTAATAAAAATATATTATTATTATTTTCTCATAACTCGTATTATTGCTAATATTATCATTGAATTTAATTTTTCTTCCCAGTTCATACCCACATGCTGTTCCATCAATTTTATCTATTTACATAACTTAAACTCGTCGGTAAAATTGTCAGAGGTTTCCAAGACAACCTGCTGAGCAAATGATAAAAAGCATGATTTTTAAAACAATTGTATATCAATATTAGTACTAGCTGCAATATCTCGGCGATACCCGGATATTTATAAAGTCCAATCATCTGTTAGGCAGAAAATATTGAATTCTATGTAGAGGGAATATGAAGAACACATAAACGTAAATTATATTTATTTTCATGTAGATAACTCCACGATTAATAGAAAACCATAAACTGCAATATAAAAATTATGAACTCATTGATCTACCAATTGAATTCTATTACATGGAAAACGCGATAGAGAGTATCTTGGTTACATTATGTTCTTCTTTAAGGTGGTGGTCGCGAATCTCTGGAAGACGTCACCTGCTCATACGTCCGACACCAGTGCATTGATCAAATCTAAATGAATGATTCAAAACATCAACTTCTTTACAGGAACTGAAATTACGTAATTTCTAAGTTCAAAGATATTGCGCGGAAAGTGGGAACATCGGCTGGCGCTCTATCAGCTGGCTTTTAGGCGGCGGCGTGTGTCCGCACCATTGTGCCGAGACGGACAGGGGCTCCCAGAAGGGGTCAATATAAATAGAAATGAATTGCAAATTCTTAACGAGTGACATAAAACACAAACAAAAAGTGAGTAACACATTCGTAAAAACAAGTGAATAACAAATTCTTAAATAACAAGTGAATATGTACGTAAGCTTCCGCGGCTCGAATCCATGAATTCTCGGCTATCCGGGAGGCGCCGCGTCGTTGGCTGGGGTGCCGACGTTTCGCCAGACATGTTGCAGGCTTCCTCAGGGCAGTGACACTGCGGCACTACGCGCCCGGTGATTTAAACTATCCTGCCTGATATCAGGCCACGGCCTGACCCTAGCCAACGACGCGGCGTCTCCCGGATAGCCGAGAATTCATAACAAGTGAATAACAAATTTTTAAATAACAAGTGAATAACAAATTTTTAAATAACAAGTGAATAACAAATTTTTAAATAACAAGTGAATAACAAATTTTTAAATAACAAGTGAATAACAAATTTTTAAATAACAAGTGAATAACAAATTCTTAAATAACATGTGACCAAAATTCTTCCTAATGCAGAGTCCGTGCAGGTTTAAAGGGTCTAGCGATGTTCTTTTGGGCGGTCACTGCACGGCGGGCAGCGACACCCGCCCGCGTCTGCGTGCGCGGAGGGTAATCGCGACGGAATCGGGCTGGCAGCTCCGCGGCGCGGCGCAGGCGCCGGATAGGCATCGCGGCAGTTTTTCAGACGCCTCCGCTCGGCGGGTTGCATACTCGGGAAACGTACTATTTCTCCCGGGCGGCGATGCACGGCGCGATTAGTCCCAGCGCGAGCCAACTGCCCACTGCTGCCCAGGCGCGCGTTGGGGGACAATCCAAAAACGGGTTTTGGTTCTTGTCTCGCAGCGCGTCCTACTCCGTGGCTTAATGTTCCATGTGAACTTTTTGCAACGTTCTGTCGAGCATTTGCTGAAGTTTCCTTGTGACGGATAGTTTAGTCACACACACACACACGCACACACACGCGCGCGCGCGCGTATATGTGTATACACATTAAAATTTCGAATGCGCCTAGGAATTGAAGAAAAATGATGCAGTCTTTGCCCATCGAACTCGGGAAATATACAAACACATGAAACTGTTTTGACTTTGACTCAAAAATGCAAATGTTTTTTGATTGTGTAATTCCCCCTATTTTGATAGAGTGCGGAACGACTGAATTGTCATATTCAGTGCGTCAGTGCCTAGGACATAGAATACATCATGTGACTGCGAAGGTCCAAGTTGGAGGCCACGCGCCATTAAATACTTGTTATTCATGTGTTGCGTTTTGGAAGAAGCAAATTTGTGATATTCTTGGCTCCTAGAGAACTGTTGTATGAGTGTATACTTATATACTATATTGTGTTATTGCAATTCTGTGACGATTTTTATTAAGTAATTAATTTGTTTCTGTATTATAAGAGTAATTTATATGTT